GGCGCCCGGTGCTCACGCGGGCCCTTTGTGTCTCTCCTCCTCCCGCAGCAAGATGTTCATCGGGGGACTCAGTTGGCAGACTACGCAGGGTGAGCGAGCCCGGGAGCGCCCGCCGGCCCGGCAGGGCACCCCGGACCCCCCGGCGCCCCAGACCTGGACACCCCTGCCCGGCCCTGCGCCCTGCTGACCCCGGGCGCCCTCGCGCCTTCTTTCGCGCCCCGCCCGGGGACCCAGAGAGCGCAGGGCGATCGGCGAGCGCACACGGCCCAGCGGGTGGAGGGGAGCAAATGAGTAGGGTTCAGGGGGCATCGGAGGGTGGGCTGGGCCCCCGGGACCCGCCGGCGGCAGCGCCAACTCCGCTCGCACCTGCGGCTCAAACTTTTGTGAGGCTGCTCCGGAGCGGCGGGAACCCGGCCGGAGCCGTCCCCCCTCCAGCCCAGCTCGGCCCTCGGCTTCCTGGGGGCCCGGTGGGCGCTAGGAGGCTCCGTGGGAGCTGGGCGAGAGCGGGAGGGGGGCGGTAGCGGTGGAGAGCGCGCGGGCAGCTTCGCGCGGGGGCGGCCGGGCGGCTCCGGGGTCACCAGGGGCAAAGGACGGGGGAGGGGGAAGGGCGCGGGGCCCGGGCTGGTCCGAAGGCGGGTGTGTGGTTACAGAAGGGCTGCGCGAGTACTTCGGCCAGTTCGGGGAGGTGAAGGAGTGTCTGGTGATGCGGGACCCCCTGACCAAAAGATCCAGGTGAGCCTCTCACCCCCTCCTCCTGCTCCTGGCTCGCCCCCCTCCACCCGCCACTCACTGCCTTGTAACCATCTGCCTCTCGCTCACTACCGCGCACAGGGGTTTCGGCTTCGTCACTTTCATGGACCAGGCGGGGGTGGATAAAGTGCTGGCGCAATCGCGGCACGAGCTCGACTCCAAAACAGTGAGTGGCCCTCGGTACTTCAGGGGGATCCTTTGGGAGAGGGAGGCTGCCGGAGGAGAGGGTCAGGACTCTCCCCAGGGGACAGCTGGACAGGGTCTGTGAGGAAGAAGGGAGTTTTCTGAGTAAGAGGTCTGCCATGCTCTGAAACTTTGTCACTAGAGTTGGGGGGAGAAGGAGGAGAAAAATCTCAGGCCTGTGATGAGATGCTAGGTGTCCCCTCCCCTAGTATGGACGAGAAAAGAAGTAGCTACCACTCTCTTTCTATAGGTACTAATCTTGATGCCTCAGAACAGAGCTTGGGGTGGGGCTAAGTCCCTCCCCTAGCCCAAATTGGGTGAGTCCTGGTTGCAGTGACCCACCCGGTGGCTTCTCTGAACTCTAACTAGTATTTGGCTCTTCCATACTCACCCCAACACACACACACTTTATTCCCCACTAATGGCAAAACATCACTGAATCTTCCTCCTTCCCTCCTTCCTCTTTTGACTTTTGGTCAGTGAGCCTCTTGCTTTGTGTGGAAGACAGGGACTTGCTTTGCCCATGAAGGGGATTTATGAGAAGGGCACAAGGTTGCCTGGAAATGAACCTTTGGAAGACTAGATCTTAGGAGAAGCTGCTTGTTTGACATTCAAACTCCTGGAACATTTTGCTTCTATCTTAGTGCTCCCCAGTGCCTTAAACCCTGCAGGGGGCGCTGGCCAAGGACCGGCTTTAAGGGAGAGGAAAAAGAGAAAGTCAGGGGTTACTTTGTGATGGGAATGTCTGTCTGCCAGGGGGCTGGGACAGTGTGATCTCCTCTCTCCACACTCCCCCACTCTCCCTCAGCCCTGGGCCTCCCTGCTTGGGTCAGTCATTGGCTCCTGTTTACCTGCAACAATAGCTGGTTGTGCCCAAGAATTTGTTAAATTACCGGCCTGTCCCCAGCTCCTGTTATCTCTGCCCAGTGGCTCCCACTCCTGCTCAGCAGTAATGAGCAAATGAGGCCAGGCCTCAACTTTGCCGGCTCTGAAAGGATCTTCTTGGCGCAGCCTGAGTGACCCAAGCTGGAAATGGAGAGACAGTAGCCTATTGTTTTTGGTGATTATCTGCCATCATGCTGCCTGTTCTCCTACCATCCCTGTCCTCAGAATGCACCGATGGCTTCTGCAGTGCTCAGGAAGCCGAGATTTAGGGGCTGGGGCTGGGGGGTGGAGGAGTGGAAGATTGATAAGGGGAAAGAAAGAGGAGGAGGAAAGAGGGTGAGATGAGTATCCTTATGAGATGGAGACTCGAAAAGGGCAAGGGCTTTGTCTGTGTTTGGCATCCTCTGGCCTTGGAAAGGGGGTGGGAGGAGGTTTGCTGTGGGGAGTCTATTTTGGGTTCTAACTTTCACCTTTTATTTACTTGTTGGGATTTATTTATGTTGCCAGCTGTGAGTCAGAGTGGAGGTGGGGTGTGTCAGGGATCGGGTGTGCGTGGGTCTGTGGCTTGGGTACCGTCTCCCCATCAGGGTCTGTGCAGAGGGACTGTGGTGTGTTGGTGACTGGGGAGGCTGCCTCTGGGACAAATAGTAGGATGAAAATGTCCATAGAGCTATGGAATCAAAACTTCAGATGGGGGAAGTTTCAGATGGGCAGCTGTGATTTTTCCTGGGGGCCCGGTGGGACATCACAGGAGAGGAGGCATCGCCCTGGCATGGATTTTGGAGATTCTGTTTTGTGGAAAGATTCCAGTCAGGGAGCCTCTGGGAGGCTAGTTTCTGGTATGTGCCGTTCAGGCAGAGAGAAGCCAGAATCAGTTGCCTAGAACGAGACTGAGTTTTGAACAGAAGGAACTTTGGGAAAAGATAGCTCTTCCCAGTGATTGGCTGGTGAACTTATGATGTCCACCCATGTGGGCTGCAAGAAACTCTGGTATGACCTGGCCTCATAGGCCCTGTATTGATCACAGTATGTCGTGCCCTGCATTTTGCTATTTGTCAGTACAGCTATAGTATCCAGGAGTACCCAGGTGCATCTTGATTTTTCCCTTTGGTTGTTCAGAGCCAAGGGCAAAGGTGACCTGCTGGTAATAGCACCTTTGTTTGTGCAATGAAGAGCAGTTCACAAAGGGCTGCTTTCACCCGTGTTATCTGATTTGATTCCCCACAGCTGCCCCTGAGAAAAGCAGGTGTGATTGTCCCCACTTTGCAGATGGGGGAACTGAGGCTCAGCTCTTAACTTCTCTCAAGATCACAGGCTTGACAAATGGCCCAGGGTTTTTAAGTTCAAGTTCCAAGACCTTTCCTATCACCAAAGACCCATCTCGTTCTGCTTTGCCCAAGCCTACTTGCATTATCAGGGAGCTGTTTGCTCATAGCCTCAGGAGGGCTGTTAAATGTTGATAGTATTGAGAAAAGGTATTGAGCCTACTTCTGGTGATTATGAACTCTCATCTTGTGGCCTTTTGCAGGTAAAGAGGATTTCTATTCACATTCATTTTTATTATTCCAAAGCCTGAATTGCATGCCTTATCTAGATAGATAGTTGTGTGAAGCCAGTTAGGCAGGGAAGGGCCTGCCATCTCACTTGAAGCAAGATTTGGATTACCTTTTTTGTTCTTCTTCTTGCTGTGAGATCACATAACAATCTGTCATGACCCTTTGAGGTGTGTGTCATTTGCCCATATTGCAGGTGAACTTGACCCTGAGGCTCAGAGAGCTAAAATAACTGGTCCATGGCATGGTCTCACAACTGGGAAGCAGTGTAAATAGTATTTGAACCCAGCAGCTTGATTTTTAAGGCCTAAATGCTCAAGGACCACACTTTCCTGCTGGAGGCTGTTGTGGTTTCTGTCATCTTTGTGTCCTTGGACAAGAGTTCCTCAGGGCTGAAGGCTATGTGGCCATCCATCTGAAATGTGATAACCAAGACACCTTCTACCTTTCCCTTCTCTTCCAGATTGACCCTAAGGTGGCCTTTCCTCGGCGAGCACAGCCTAAGGTAGGTGTATTTGTGTCTGGGAAGAACTCAAATACTTGAGGCAATGCTGGGCAGTGATTTTCCCAGCATATACTGCTATGGAAGATACTTCTAGAATAGTAGTTCTTAACTTTGCTAATGTTGTGGCCCTTTAATACAGTTTCATGACCCACAGGTTGAGAACTGCTGTTTGAGAACCTCTGCGGTGTTTCTGGAATGGGCTGGGGTGGGAGGATGGTATTCTTAATATCCTTAATCTGTGGCCTGAAGACATTGTGCGTCTTTCCAGCTGAGCTTTGGGGTGGACTGGAGAGGGGCTGCATGTAGTGGGAGAAAGGGTGTCCCTCAGGATTCATTGTCTTGTATTTGAAGCCAGTAGAGTTTGGAGCCTGAGTCTAATACCAGCCTCACAGGTCATAGCCATGGTGCCCAGAGCCTCAGGGGTCAAACACAGGGCAGACTTATCTCCTGAGGTTGAGTTAGATTCAGGCTAGGGAACTACTTCAGATGCCCCAGTCATCCTCCTACCTCTGCAGAGGGAGAAGGGACCAGGGAGTCTGTCACCTGTTGTGTTTCAGCTTAAGTTTCTCTGGGTGCTCTCTTACTCTGGTGTTCTGGTGAGTTTTCCTGGAGAGGGGGGCAGAGTGTGCCAAAAATGGATTTCTGAGCAGTTGAGGAATATAACACTTAAAACTTTAGGTTCAGGACAGGAGCCTACGGTTCTATTCCAAGCCACAGGGAAACTAGCCAGATCTTAAATTTTAAGTGATTGAACATAGGAGGCACGAGAATAGACTAGATTACAGTACACGGAGTAAGGACCCCTGAGATTGCTGACTTATGTGTCCTAGGATGAAATCCCTCTCTAGGTCATGTTGGTTTTCCCCTGTGCAAGGAAGTTGGTAAGAACTAGAGTGCTTCAAGATTCTGAGCCAGTGAATTCCATCAAGGCCCCCAGCTCCTGCCAGGTTGAAGGGAAAGGAACAGTTGTAGGAGACAGGAAAGGGGCATCTCTGGAAGAGGTCCAGCAGAGGGCCTGAAAGCAATTATGGAGCAGGTATTCGAAGGAAGCCGCACCAGGGAGCACATGGTCGGAATTGGGTTAATTCCATTAAGCAGTTTGGTGACAGAAGGTGCTTTAGTGTTAGGATGGGGCTGGGAATTGCCGCGGATTAGCCATGCGCTCCTGGGGTAATTAGGACCATGTGTTCTTCCTAAAACGGGGCTGGGGACACGGGGCCGCCAGAGGTTGGGTTGGGAGGGGAGAAGGTTGATAAGGAAAATGTTGTCATTGAGTTCAGGGAGATCCTGTGATGAGCTTTGGTGTCTCTCGGGAGTGCTGGTGGGGTCTTAGGCTGTGGGTCTGAGACACTGGCCTGTCCCATTCCCTGTGTTAGTCCTTAGGGAACACATTTTCTGGACCCAGTCCCCAGGGAAGGAGGCAGGAGGGAGGCACACTTAAGCTAGCCAGGGTATGGGGTGCACAGCTGCCCGTGACAGGCCTAGAGGCGGGGGTCCAAGGGAGAGCTTGGGGGGGCCTTCCAAAAGGCTGGGGCCATGGAGAGCTTGTCAGCTGGCATCCTGGCAGGGAGGCCTGAGCCCCTGCTGGTGGCGGTAGGCCACAGGACTCAGATGCCCACTTTCTCATTCCCTCCCCTAACAGATGGTGACTCGAACGAAGAAGATCTTTGTGGGGGGGCTGTCGGTGAACACCACAGTGGAGGACGTGAAGCAATATTTTGAGCAGTTTGGGAAGGTGGGTCTAAACTGAGGGTGCTTGGTGGGGTTTGAATGCATTATAGAATGGGTTGGTAGCAAGTGGGGTCCAGCCAGGTAATTCTAATTCCTGCAAAAGGTGAAAGGGAGGCTGGGTTCCTCTGTGGGGGAGGCCAGGCCCATCCACCTTTCAGGCTCTTGGCCCATCTATGGGCCTCAGACTCTGGACATCCCTAGGGAGAGGAAGCCACACAGTAGCTGTCCCTGTTGTTGCCTTTCCCCTGTATTTTTCTTTTGCTTATCTTCATGCTCCTGAGGGAGGCTTTGCTCCTGCAGCCAGTTCAATCCAGTCGCCCCTTGGCCTCCTGGGAGTTTGCACCTGTCCAGGCTACCAGCGGGCGGTTGCACCTTCCCCCACCCTTCCTGGTGAGGATGATAAGGAGGCAATAAATATGACTCCCAATTGCTTGCATAGGTGAGGCAGGAGGTGGGGGCAGCTAAACCCCTAGGTATTGGGGAGAGCTGAAGGGGGCACTCCCAGCTCTAATCAGGCCCAGAGGACAGGCTCTCAGCTCTAAGGCACATGGAGCTTTAATTTCTGGGGCTATGAAGAGGTAGATGTGGTGACATCAGACAATAGGGTGTCCTCTGAAAGGTGAGCAATATGAATGTCAGGGTCCCAGTATGAATGCGGAGATGGTAGAGATGGGCCCAAGTTTGACGTCTAGGATCTGAGGAGTGCTGCTTTGTTTGGGGTGAGAGTCCCTGATCTTTATTCTCTCTGGAGGCTGAGTCTCTCTTTTCCCATCAAGGCAGGCCAAGGGAGATGTAGCTTGGGAAATGGGCGGTGAGCTTGAGGACTGGCTGGTCGGAGGGTTCCCTGGCCTGCAGACGCTGACGTTGTGGGGGTAGAGGCCCTAGCTCAGGCACCTCCGTGGGGACCAGGGTGCAGGACCGAGGGCAGGTCGGGCGGGCCTGGGCCCCAGAGGGAAGGGCGCTCCTGGGAAGCAGCAGGCCCGGCTCGGCTCCGGCGGGGTGTCTTTGTGTCTGAGCGCCGAGCATTAGAGCTCGCACTAATCTGATCCAGCAGCTGTGATTGGAGGCCGCCTGCCCCCGGGGCCGGCGTTGCCAAGGCAACCGGGCCCCAGGAGAAGCCGTCAGCGGCCGCGTCTTTTGTTCGGGCCTAAATCGGCGTTGGCATGTGAAACCGGCCCGGGGAGGCCAGGGGGAGCCGGAGAATAGGCTGCCAGGGAGCGAGGGGGACAGCCGGGAATGCCAAGGGCCCCGCGGTAGGGGGCCCCCCGCCCGGATCGAGGGGCCGCCGCCGAGGGGGGAACAATGGTCAGCCGCCATGGCTGCCACTCAGGCTTATCGGCCGCCGAACTTGGCGGCTCCCACTGGTCAGCAGGCCTCGACCGCCTCCCCTCCCCCCCACCCCCACCCGATCCCCCTGCCCTTGGGTTCCCATGGAGACCAAAGCCTATTAAGGACACTGGCCCTGGTGCCTCCCCTCCCCTCAGCTGGCCCCAGGAGAGGACACCAATGAGGGTACCCTTGACCCCCACCCATTTTCTTTTGCCCGCTGTCCTGGCCTCAACCCCTCTGTTCTGCTAGGGGTCTGTGCAGCCGAAGCCCAGTGGCTTCAAGGATGGAGGAAGCCAGAAATGGTAGAGTTGCAAGGTGGAGGCCTGAGGGCTGTGGATTGGGGATGAATCAGTTTATGGGTCAGGCAGGAACCCAGAGCTATAGGATTAGCAAGAAGGATGTGGCTGATTCTTCCATTCATTCATTCATTCATTCAAAAAATAATAACAGCATAAGTCAAGGTGCCCTGTAGAATGGTTGTCATGGTCCTAACTGACACAGATGCTGTCCTTGCAGAACCTTCAAGGCAGTAGTATTAAGCTGCTCTCTCCCTAGCCTTACCGCTCTCCATCATGTGACTGTGGCAAGTCCCTCTGTGATAAAGATAATAGCCATTATTTATTAAGCACTTACTGTATCCTAGGTCCTGTGAGTTGAGAGTGTTACATGAATGATCTCATTTAATTCCTTGCTGTGAAATAGTTGCTCCCATTTCACAGGAACCAAGTCATAGAGACACAAAGCCAGTTACCTAAAATTAACCACCAGTGATTGCAGGATCCAGGGTTTCAACTTGAGGCTATCCTTCTGAAAGCTTGTACTTTGATCACAACCATTCTTTCTGGGTTTCTGTTTTCCATTGGTTAAGGGAGGGGTGAGGAAGATATGTAGGACCCGAAGTGTCTTTCCAGTCTAGACAGTCCAGATGATTTGAGATTGGGATTCAAGGTGGGTCGCTATGGGGACTAAAGGGCCCTCAGGGCAGGAAGCTCCTTGGGGAGAAAGATGTCATTTCCCTTGGAGATTCTTCAGGGAACTGGCTCCCTCCTAGCTTGGCAGGGTCCTGGTTCTCCCAAGGAGGAGTCAGGTATAGCTTGAGGGCTGAGGAGAGCCAGGACCACCCTAGTTAAGGATCTGCCCTTTTCACTTTAATGAGGCAGAGGAGGCCCTTTATAAGGCAAACAGAGGGAAGGAAGGTGGGGAAGAATCTGTGCCCTGTGGCCTCAGGGAAGTTTTTCTTTATCCTTTGGATGCCTGACTATTTGGGTGAGGGGGAGAGTCAGGAGGAGGGATTGGGGCTATATTGGAGGCAGCCCTTGATTTATACCAAGGGTCAATAAGACCTAAGCTGAGAGAGCAAAGAAGCACCAGATGCAGGCAGAGGGAAGAAGATGGGATCAGAAGAGTAGGGGATGTCTTGAGGGAGCAACAAGAAGAGGAGACCAGGGTCCAGGAGAAGGTGGGCAATGTGAAACCCCCTTCCTCTGTTCCTTTCCCCTCCCCCAGCCAGTGGGAGGCAAATAGCCCAGGCACTGAACTCTACTTTAATTACAGCTTCTAGCAAAAGGAAACCTCAATTAGAGGAAAAGATCTGTACCAGGAGAGGGGAGTCCAGTCTGGCTGCTGTCCGCCTGGCCTTTTGCAAAAAGAAGAGGCTTTTGCTTCCCCATCTCATAATCTTCCTCCCATAGTTCCTTCCCTAGTGCCTACCTTGTGCCTTCTCCTCCCCTGCTTCATCTTACTGTGTGATCTTGGACAGGTGACTTCACCTCTCTGAACCCATTTCCTTACAGAGAGCTTACCATGCAGGGAATGTTGGGAGGATGATGGGGCAAAATGCCAGGCATATATTTGGCATATTTGGAGCCTAATAAACAGAGGCTGGTCCTTTGAGAATCTGGTAGTTGAATAGGGGATGCTGGGGTGTCCAGTGGGGTTACATATAGGGAGTTGTCCCCTGCATAGAGAGTAGGTTCAGGATAAAGCCTAGAGTGGGCAAGAGGAGAGAGCTGGTTGTAGGATTCCCTATTCCTGGATTGTGGTGGGTCTCCTGGTGTCTGGAGGGTTTTCCATGGCAGGCTTTCTTTCAGGTGGACGATGCCATGCTGATGTTTGACAAAACCACCAACCGGCACCGAGGTGAGTGTGGACCCCTCCCCCTTCCCAGTGGGCCCTGTGGTCAGCTAAAGGGCTGCAGGTCACAGCTGCCCTTTCATCTCCCCTCCTGACATCCTATCGCTGAGGATCACCATCCTCTCCCGGGCCTGGCCTTACAGAAGGCTTTTGTCCTGCCGTTTCCTGTGCTAGAAACTTGCCCAATTGCAGACACCCGAGAGGAGCAGAGAAATAACCCCCACTAAAACTCCACCACCAACTGAGCCTTCCACGCCTGCCCTGGCTGGTGTCTGTCTCTGCTGGGGCTTACCTTGTCCCTAGTAACTAGAGCTGAGGCCAGGCCACTCCAGGGTCAGGCTGACTCTGCAGCCCCAGGCAGTCTGCTCCTGCCCAGCCCCCACTCTCTACCCCCTTGCCCCTGAACCTGTGTGCATCTGGGCCACCCTGTGTGCACTGCCTGGTTGTTTTTTTCCCAAGGGCCTTGCCTTCTGAGAAATCACTTCCCAGTCCCTGAGGCACACTCAAGAGGAGTCAGGGTTATTTCCCCAGTTGCCTCAAGACTTTGGGTCTTTTAGTCTGTTTTGGGAATGGGGCATGTGTTCTGTGTGTGCGTTTGTGTATCTGTACATGTGAGTTTGTCTGTGTCTGAATATTTGTGTGTATCTGGTATGTCAGGGTAACTACATGTGTAGAGCACGAATGAGTGTCTGTGTGATATGCTGGTACCTAGGTACACATATGGTGTGTTTTTGTGTGTGCCTACATGTCACGTGTGTGTGTGTCTTGTGTACATTTCTATGTTTGCGTATGTGTATCTTTGTATAAGTTTCATTGAACCTTTGTGTGTGCTTTTTCTTTGGAAAACATCTGAGGATGAGGAAAAGCATGTTGAATATATTCTCATGGCAGCTCTTGCCACTTTCTAACTTGTTGTGTGACCTTGGGCCAGTTACTTTACTTCGCTGAGCTTATTTTTCTCATCTGTAATTTGGGACTTGAAACCTTGTCTCAGTGGTAGTTGAGAGGCTCCTAGGTGCTAGGCAGAGCCTTTCCTTGACTCATAGCCACTTGTCAGAGAGAAAGGGGCGGGGATATTGGTATGACCTGGGGTTACGTTTTGACCACAATCTGTTCTGGCTCTAATTCTGCCTTTGCCCCTTGTCCAACCTCTAGGGTTTGGATTTGTCACATTCGAAAGCGAGGACATCGTGGAGAAAGTGTGTGAAATCCACTTTCATGAAATCAACAATAAAATGGTGAGCTGGGACTGGATGAAGCAGAGGTTGGGGAAAGACTGGGGCCCCAGACAGAGCTAGCCAGGGAAGATTGGAGATTCTAGAGGTTGGCAGAGGGGCCCTACAGTCAACAGAGGCAGACCCGGTTCTCCCACCCTCTGAAAATCTAGACTGGGAGGCCATGTTACATGGCAGTTGATGGAGCAGATGACTTCTCCTTTCTGAGTCTCAGTTTCTGCATCTGTAAGATGGAAGTGGCAGCTTAGCACTTCCGTGGTGGTAGAGTTGGTGTAAGCATTCAGTGGACTGTTTATATGCAAAACCATTTACAGTTTCTAGAACATCGTGAGCACTTTATGATGGTAACTATGAAATTAATAATAAAGAGACTTGCCAGGGAACAGGAGGGACAGTGACCCTAGGAAGGACTGACCACTAGATCTCATTGCAGGTGGAATGTAAGAAAGCGCAGCCAAAGGAGGTGATGTCACCCACGGGCTCAGCCCGAGGGAGGTCTCGAGTCATGCCCTACGGAATGGACGCCTTCATGCTGGGCATTGGCATGCTGGGTATGTGCTAGGCTTGCACCTGCAGCGTCTTTCTGCCCAGAACTGTTCCCAGTACTAGCAGAGCTATGTGGGTGTTTCTTCCCCTTCTGTGGTCTGTCCTCCTGTCTGAGTCATTGGGCTGGAGTGGGGTCTGGGGATCTGTCAGGTCTGGCAGTCTTACCCCAGGTAGGCCAATTTGGTTGGTGTGTGCTGCCCTCTTGTGGTAACCAGAGGAATGGTCCGACTGTTCCTTGTTAACTGGCCCTTTGTCAGTCTGTCCCTCCATTCATTTATGCATCCAATATGATCTGGCAGGAAAGACTAATAAGTAAGAAGATAAATAGATTTTAGATGCAGAAATATAGGGTACCAAGGGAACGTGGTCATGGGGAACTTGACCAAGACTTGGAGAAGCTGGAAAAGAAGTTATATTTGAGTTGAATGTGTGGGTCAAGTAGGAGCCAGTTATGGGAGGGCTGGAGAAAAGGAAAGGGAAAAAGTGTTCCAGGCAGAGGGAATAGCATTTGCAAAGGCCCAAAGGCCTTTAGGAAAACAAAAAGAAGCTGCCTCTTCTTACTCAGTCGAGTCATATTTACTGAGCAGCTTCTGGGAGGCAGGGTGTCCCCTTCAAATGGGAGACAGGAGTAAATGAGTACTGTCACCACAGAGTGATTGGAGGCTGTAGGAGGCCCTAAACCTGCCTGGAGGTTGGGGAGACTTGCTGGAGATGGGCCTTGGAAGTTGAGCAGTAGTCAGCTGAGCTTTGGGTCCAGGACTGAGTTTGGCCCCCAGGAAGCTCCCAGTCTCCCTGGAGGGATCAGATGTGTACACACAGAAAACAGTACAAGGAGGTTTTAGGTTTTTTTTGTTCGGAGTGGGGGGTTTGGTGGAGACAGAGTCTCACTTTATCGCCCTCGGTAGAGTGCTGTGGCGTCACACAGCTCACAGCAACCTCCAGCTCATGGGCTTAGGCAATTCTCTTGCCTCAGCCTCCAGAGTAGCTGGGACTACAAGCTCCTGCCACAACGCCCAGCTATTTTTTGGTTATAAGGGGCCAGCGCCCTACCCACTGAGCCACAGATGCTGCCCAGTTTGGGGGGTTGTTTGAGACAGTCTCAAGCTGTTGCCCTGGGTAGAGTGCTGTGGCATCATAGCTCACAGCAACCTCCAACTCTTAGGCTCAAATGATCCTCTTGCTTCAATTTTTCTGTTTTTAGTAGAGATGGGGGTCTGGCTTTTGCTCAGGCTGGTTTTGAAATTGTGAGCTCAAGCAGTCCACCCACCTTGGCCTCCCAGAGTGCTAGGATTACAGGATCAACCACTGTGCCCAGCCAATACAAGGAGGTTTTTATGTCAGGCATCAGAAGGTACTCTGGGAATTCAGAGAAGGGGCATGATGTGGGCTAGAGGGCCAGAACTGGGATCATGGAAGAGGTAGATAAGGGAAGCCCCCTCCAAATGGGGCATAATCTTTCTTGAAGTTTTTTTCTTTAACTTTTTATGTGGAAGTAATTCCAAACTCTCAGACAAATTGCAAAAATAAAATAATACAAAGAACATCATATATCCTTTTATCATATTCACTTAACATTTTACCCCATTTATTTTAATATTTTTATGCTTTTTACACGTATGTTTGTGTGTGTGTATACATGTATGTATGTATACATATATATGTGTGATTTTCCCCTGAATCATTTGAGGACTAGTTATAAATACTTTAGTGTGTATTTCTTTTTTTTTTTTTTGAGACAAAGTCTTACTGTGTAGCCTTAATTAGAGCTCTTTGGCGTCATAGCTCACAGCAACCTCACACTCTTGGGCTTAAGCAATTCTCTTGCCTCAGCTTCCCAAGTAGCTGGGACTATAGGTGCCTGCCACAATGCCCAGCTATTTTTTATTGCAGTTGCCATTGTTGTTTAGCTGGCCTGGGCAAGGTTTGAACCCGCCAGCCTTGGTGTATGTGGCTGGCACTGTAACCACTGTGCTATGGGTGCCAAGCCTTCAGTGTGTATTTCTTAAGATTAAGGATATTTATTCTTTCGCATAACCACAGTTTGGTAATCAACCTCATAAATTGATAATGATACAATATTTTTGTGGATTCTTTTCTATATTCCAGTGTTATCAATTGATCCAGTAATGTTCTTTTTTTTTTTTTTTTTTTGAGATAGAATCTCAAGCTGTCACCCTGGGTAGAGTGCTGTGGTGTCACAGCTCACAGCAACCTCAAAATTCTGGGCTTAGGGCGGTGCCTGTGGCTCAGTGGGTAGGGCACCAGCACCATATAACGAGGGTGGTGGGTTCAAACCTGGCCCTGGCCAAACTGCAAGAAAAATAGCCAGGCATTGTGGTGGGCGCCTGTAGTCCTAGCTACTCGGGAGGCTGAGGCAAGAGAATCGCCTAAGCCCAGGAAATGAAGGTTGCTATGACCTGTGACACCACGGCACTCTACAGAGGGCAACAGGGTGAGACTCTATCTCAAAAACATCCTAGGCTTAAGCAATTCTCTTGCTCAGCCTCCCAAGTAGCTAGGACTACAGGCACCCACCACAAAGCCTGGCTGCTTTTTTTCTGTTTCGGTTGTCATTGTTGTTTTAGCAGGCTCGGGCTGGGTTCAAACCTGCTAGCCTTGGTGTATGTGGCCAGCGCCCTACCCACCTAGTAAAGTTCTTTATAGCATATTTTTGCCCTCTGAACAAGATCCAGGCTAGAATCAGGGATTGAATTTTAGTTGTCCTGTCCCTTTGGTCTCCTCTGATCGTTGAGAAAGGTTTCTTTTAAGGTGATTCATGAGCTAGTTCTTTTTTTTTTTTCAATTTTTTTTTTTTTTTTTTTTGTTACAGAGCCTCAAGCTGTCCCCCTGGGTAGAGTCCCGTGGCATTACAGCTCACAGCAACCTCCAA